TGTAGTTAAAGATTAACTAAAAATAGACCACACAATGAGTTTGGCTGAATTTAAAAAGATAAAAAATAATCTTCCTTGTTTTTCCAAAGTATTTCCAGGCCTTTTGGAGGAAGGGGGATGTGAGACAATTTAGGTGAAAATTAAAGATCCTGGACTTCATGTAACTTCCTGGATCATTCAGCACCCTATAACATTCTTTTCATAACTGGCTATGTTTAGAAGTAGTAAAAAGTAATTGCAGTACTTTTCCTTCCATTTAGTGGCGGTGTGTTTACTATAGCAACAGATAAGAATTATTGATACAAAGCTACTTAGATTTTAAAAAAGCACTTGTATTTCAGTTTGAAAAATACTGTTATTCATTTATCCAAGTTCTAACTTTGTTGACTAAATGGTCACTTAAACATATATTCATTTATCCAAGTTCTAACTTTGTCTGTTGACTAAATGGTCACTTAAAAATTAAGCTTGAGGTCTTGCCTGACCTGTTTGCTTCTGAAACATATGAATGTTTTGTCAACTTCTGAATAGGAGTCTGAATTGTAAGAGTGTAACTGGTTTCAAAACTTTATTTGCAGGCAACTGTGGATATTCCAGGCTTAAACCTCAGTCAGCAGGAGTACTACCCATATGTGTACTACAAGATTGATTGTAATTTGCTGGAATTCAAGTAAAAGTTCCCTAACATGGCAATCTTCTCAGTGTTGGTGTAAACAAACAGAAGTGAGGATGAAGTACAGTGATACTTTTAACACTCTACTAATCATATGCTTGCTTCTTATGTTAGGTGAATTTAACACACAGTGGTCCATCTCTAGACATTTTCTTTTTAAAGAACAGTGTAGGTAATCTGCTTTTAATCAATGATGTCTGTAAATGTATATTGAGAGAATTGAAGTATTTATAAACAGAGTGATTTATTTAAGGAAAAGCTCATTCCTCTTTCATATGGTGGTCTGTGTTAATTCCATTTACCATTGTTTATAAAAAAAACAAACCCCCTTGTTTACAGAAGAATAGTGTAAATGTTTATGGCCATTTTGTTCATTTGATTTAGTAGATACAATTGTGTTAATGTTGTTGAACTGTGATGTAAAGTATGTAAAATTGGTATGGAATTGTGCTTTCTGAATGGTTTAAACTTACAATCGAAGCACTGTAAACACAGGAGAAAATAAACATGCCTGTGCAAATGTGTCGCTTTTTTGTACTAATAGCTGTAGATACTTGTGTTTAAACTGAAGCAATGTATTAAGTCTTAAAACCAATGCTGCGTCTTGCATGCAGTGGTACAGAATGCCGTTGGCTTCAGCACAAAGACTTTTAAGAGATGTAAGTATTTCTTTTGCTTTGTGCAGAAATGCTCAAGTATGTTGTTTGGCCACCAAACCTATGTATGAATGTTTTTCGTGTTTATATCTTCATGACTCTAGAGAAAAGATAGGAGACGATTATTGGGAAGATGGGAGTAACCTGGGACGTTAACAAGACAGGCTGATCTGGGATTTTGTGATAATTCTTTGTTCTTTTTTCAATCAGTTGAAGCTTGAGACTGCTTTATGGCTTCAAATACTGTACTATTAGATGCTCGTGGGATTTTGAGGGTGTTTTTTCTTTTGGCAGCGTTCTTTCTACCATACAGGGAAAGTGACAGCTTCCTTTTAGTGTGTATAGAGAGGGGTTGTCTATTTCAGTAGCCGTTATCACAGCTATTATATGTATTGTATATATTCCAGTTGCTAAATATGCAGTAAAAACTGCAGTACCTTTTAAAACTGACTTCAATTAAGACTGAGACTGGAGGAGCAGTATTAGTATTTGAAGTACTGTAACTGCTGGATTTTTTTTTCTAATTTGGTCCCTAGCGGAAAATACCGGTGCTGTGAATCGAAGCAATATAGCGCTTTTGGCTATAGAATCTCTAATCGTGAGCCAGAAGCACTTTTGAGGAATTTGCTGTCTTTGATAAGCCAACATTGAGATCTGTAATTATTAAGAGAGAAGTTTAGCTTTTGAGTGCGAGACTTGCATCTAGCTACTGATAATGAAAAAGGGTTTGAAGTCTTAAAAAAAAAAAAATTACTGTGTAAAATTATATTTGCTTTTCTTACTATTTTTTATAGGTAAAAGGGGAGAGTGAGATCTAGTGTTCAGTTGTGCTCACACTTGCATGTTCTCTCTCACTTTCTTACAGAAGATAACAGCTGCTTGCTGTGTTGACCGGGTTGTTAAAGTGTGTGAGCAGGTGGAAGGGGTTTTCCCCTTTATCACCCAGCTCCACCCCTTCCACTGGCTTTCGTTATTACTACCTACGAAGATAGTCTTGGTTCTGAGCCCATTGTAACCGAGATAAACTACTTGGGGCTAAAGAGGGGGTTTTTTGGTCCACTAAAAGCATTTAATCCTGCTTCCCCGATCACAGAAGGAGTCAGGCTGAACTGTTGTCTCTGTTCTTCATCTTAATTCTCTTTTGATTTTGTTTTCAAAGCCTTTGTACAAACAAGTGCAGTATAAAGGCTTAGGCTTCCAGTAAGTACTGTGCAAACTGCTTTGCTGTGTGCTTTGCCCTGTTCAAGGTGCTAAGTATCTGCTAAATCAGCGCAGGATTCTTCTCGAATGAATGGAAGCAAGAGGCAGCTGGAGAATGGAATGACATGATCCCCCAAGGTGAGGGAAGCAGTCAGAATGCTGAAAGACAGGTTTGCTGCTCAGGGGGATGTGGACATGCTGAAGAAATGATGGGCGCTGCACGAACTTCAGCAAAGAGAATTGCACAGTCCAGCGCTTGGGGAGGAATAACCCTTATGCACCAGTACAGGCTGGGGGCTGACTAGCTGGGAAGCGGCTCTGCAGAAAAGGACCTGGGGCTGCTTGTGGAAAACAAGTTGCACTTGCGGGAAAGGCCAACCGTCTCCTGGGGGGATGTTAGTAAGAGGGTAGCTGTCCTTCACTGCTATTTGGCACTTGTCAGGTCCTGTCTGGGCTCTGTAGTACAAGAAATGGAGCACCACGATGGAGGAAGTCCAGTGGGGGTTACCCAGGCTTGTCAGGAGGCTGGAGCATGTGACACTCTGACATACTAGAATTGTGTCTCTTCATACCTGGGAAGAGACTGAGGGAAAGCAAGAACAGATGTTACTGGTATTCACAACTGCCTGAGCAGAGGATACAGAGAAGATAGAGCCTTCTCGTGTGCCTGAGCACTTCTCAGAGGTACCTGGTAATAAGATGAGAGGCAGAGGATGCGAGTTTAAATATGGTAAATTCTCATTAGAGGCTGTGGTGGGTTGACCTTGGCTGGCTGCCAGATGCCCACCCGGCTGCTCTCTACCCCTGTTCAATGGGATGGGGGAGAACGCAAGGTGAAAAAGGTCATGGGTTGAGATAAGGACAGGGAGATGGCTTACCAATTACTGTCACAGGCAAAACAGACGACTTGGGGAAGATTTAGTTTACTAAAATTAGATTTGGACGGTGAGGAGCAGATAAAAAATAAAATACCTTACCCCCTTCTTTTTTTCTGAGGTTTGACTTCACTCCTTTATTCCCAACCTCCTTCCCCCTGCTCAGTGGCACGGAGGGTTAGGGAATGGGGGGTTATGGTCAGTTCATAACACTTCCTCTCTGCTTCACCCTCCTTCTCACACTTTTCTCCTGCTCCATTGTGGCTCCTTCCACAGACTGCAGTCCTTCAGGATAAACCTAGTCTAGCATGGGTCCTCTATGGGCCACATTTCTTTCAGGGCATGTCAGCCTGGTCTCATTTGGGTCGTCCAGAGGCTACAGTGTGGGTATCTGCTCCGGCGTGGACCTCTCTGTGGGCTGCAGGACAATACCTGCTCCACTGTGGTCCATTCTGTGGGCTGCAGGGAAATACCTGCAGTGCATTTCCTTTCAGCGATGCATCTAGATTGGAGTTATCTGTGCCTGAATAGCCTCTAAATTGCTGTTTGTAAGGAAGGGAAGATTATAGAGTATTGAATGTTAGTGACTGCCATGGAATAGTTGGTGTCTACCATCAGCCTTTCCTAGTGGTAGAGAGAGATGCTTTGGATACAGGGCCTGGAAATTAGTCTGTTAGACTTGATTTATAGGGAAAGGCTAGAACCAAAACCACCTCTTTTTACAGTTTATTATATTTCTATGGTTCTTAAAAGATTTCTGGCAAATGGAACAGGGTTTGAACTGTGTAGAGATGGAAAATTTTCGTTCTGTTTCTGAGAAGCATGCCAGGTGATTAAGATAGAAAGTAATTTGTGGAAGAACTGAAGAATGTAGTCTACTCTGGAATGTGAGGGCTATGGGAACTTTATTTTTATTGTAATAAGTAACAGCAGATGATTTATGTCCTAATAGGAAAAGCAGGCATAACTGGATTGTCACAATTTACATGTCTGTACCCAAAATCTGAGAAGGGGAGACAGCTGCTGCACAGCCGAAGCATCTAAAATAGCAATGTACTAATATTTTAGTAAACTTAACATAGATCTTGAAATGCTGATGGATAGCATTTGAAAACTGACAAATAAAACTTAGTAATGAAATTGTGTGAGAAAGCAATAGCTGCAGTGAGTTCCAGGGTCAGCAGGACTGGGGAGAAGGAGCAGAGAACTGGACAGGAGAAGAGGAAATGTGGTAACTAGGAGCTTGCGGAAGGGGCAGTTAAGGACATGCAGAAAGAGCTAGGAACTCCTGTTAATGAGCAGGAAGGAGTATGGGAGAGCGTTACCACAGCTGGGGACAGTGGGAGAGAATTTCAGTGAACTTCAGGAAAATGAACCACAAACGAACTTGTTGGAAGGAAACAAATATCACTCTATCTTGAAAAAGGACAAGAAGAGGATCAGGGGACTGCTGTCTGCTCAGCCTCACCTTGATCCCCTGGAAGATGATGGAGTAAACAGTATTAAGGAGATGAAGGTGATTAAGGGTAGGCAATGTGGATTTGTGCCTTACCAACCTGATAGCCTTCTACAATGAGATGACTACTAGCTCAGGGGATGAGGAGGGCAGTGGATGTTGTTTATCTTGACTTCAGCGAGGCCCTTGACATGGCCTCCGATAGCATCCTCATTGGCAAACTGATTAAGTACAGACTAGGTAAGTGGACAGTGAGGTGGACTGAAAAAACAGGTGAACTTGATGGGCCCAAAGGCTTATAATCAGTGGCACAAAGTCCTCCCAGAGGCCAGTTACTAGTGGTCTACCCCAGGGGTCGCTACTGGGGCCCATATTGTTTAGCATTTTTATTAATGACCTGGATGATGGGACAGAGTGTATCCCTCACCGTGTTTGCTGATGATACAAAACTAGGAGGAGTGGCTCCTATACCAGATGGCCCCATTCAGGGGCCCCTTGATACACTGGAGAAATGGGCAGACAGGAACCTCATGAAGCTCAACAGAGGGAAACGTGAAGTCCCACACCTGGGGAAGAATAACCCCATGTGACAGTACAGGCTGGTGGCCAACTGGCTGGGAAGCAGTTTCGCAATAAAAGGACCTGGGGCTCCTTTTGGAAGAGAACTTGAGCATGAGGCAGCAATGTGCCCTCGCAGTGGAGAAGGCCAACAGCATGTCCTAGGAAGAGCATTGCTAGCGGGTTGAGGAGGGTGATCGGTCCCCTCAACTCCATACTGATGAGACCACATCACAGAATGACAGTAGTTGAGGTTGGCAGGCACCACTGAAGATCGTCTGGTCCACCCCTGCCCTGCTGAAGCAAGGTCAGCTAGAGCAGATTGCTCAGGATTGTGTCCAGTAAAGTGTTGAAAGATGTCCAAGACTGGAGACTCCACAGCCACTCTGGACAACCTTCTCTGGTGTTCAAACCCCCATGCAGTAAAACTGCTTTCTTATGTTTAGAGACAATACACCATATCTCAGTTTGTGCCCATCAGGCACCACTGAGAAGGGTCGAGCTCCCCCTTCTTTACAGCCTCCCATCGGTTATTCATAAATACCGATAAGATGATCCTGAGACTTCTTATTTTCTTGGCTAGAGGGTGGTGAGTGCTCCTGCAGTATTCAACCATTTGCTTCTGGGGCTGCTTTTGTTTTAAGGAATACAGCTGTTAAACATGGCGATCCACAGTGAACAGCAGAAGATGAGAGATCTTTGGTTTGTTTCTTTTATTTATTTATTTTTTTTAATATGATAGCATTTTGAAACACTCAGCTTTTAAAACTCTGTATTAGTTTAATTTTCATAAATGTACTACTGATTTTGAAAGCTTTCTGGAAAATAAATGCATCTATGTTCTGCTGAACTATTAGATACTGAAAAACTTTGATTGCAGTGACTGATTCCTGAGCAGAAACGTTTAGAAGGTAACATCTTCCCAAATACCTTTGGACGTGAATTTGGGTTTTTTTTTGGCAGAATTCCTACTGCAGAAGGGATGTTTGAATTCTGCTCCATCGCTAATGTCAACAAATGCAGTGTTTGCCTTCCGCCCAACTGGGACTGGATTCTTGGAGTGAAAGACTAACGTTTGCCAGCAGCTTAGTATTTGTCTCCAGACAGACAGTGTATAGTTTATCTTACACTGACTTAAATATCTTTAAGAGCACAATACGTGAGCTGAGTCGTAAGCAAACGGTATCACTCTTCGTTTTGTGGGGATGGGATCCCTGCCTGGGATCTTTTAATGTTGCTTCAGTGTAAACAAATGAACTCTGCCACTTTCTGTACCATGGCATTAACTGCAAAAATCAAAGACAGAGTAAATCATGAATACTTTGTCTTGCAAAGGTCGGGGGTTTGTGTATCACCAAGAAGCTCACGTTTTGTGGGGTTGGAGGAGATACGAGTGTAATGTTTGAATTCCTGCAGCCTCACTGAATTGAATGTGATTTCCCCGAGCTTCGTTTGAGTCCATAAGCAGATTATTGCAATGTTATATTTCCCTGAGACTTTGGGGCTACATCGTGGTGCTGGTGGAACCTGAAAAGCTGTGGCTGTGTGGACACTTTTGGAGGGCTTTGCATTGGACAGAGCCAATGGGAAAACTGCAGGGGAAGTTAAGTGGAGTAAAAGTAGATGCTGGAAAGCCAGCTTTGAATAGACAACTGCACTTTTACATTAAAGAGTTACAAAAAGAAGCGTGAGCCTGCACAATGTCATAGGGCTGTTCGCTATTTATTGGCCTCAGTATCACTCTTCTAAAAAATGTGGTGGTTTTAGCTTTTGCCCTATGTAGGCTGTGCTGGTTTTGACTGGGATAGAGTTAACTATCTTCATAGCAGCTGGTATGGGACTATGTTTTGGATTTGTGCTGAAAACAGTGTAGATAATACAGGGATGTTTTCGTTATCGCTGAGCAGTGCTTGCGCAGTGTCAAGGCTTTTTCTGTTCCTCATACCATCCCACCAGCGTGTAGGCTGGAGGTGCACAAGAAGTTGGGAGCGGACACAGCTGGGACAGCTGACCCCAACTGACCAAAGGGATATCCTATACCATGTGGTGTCGTGCTCGGCATGTAAAGCTGGGGTAAGAAGAAGGAAGGGAGGGGGGACACGTTCGGAGTTACGGTGTTTGTCTCCCCAAATAACCGTTATGCGTGATGGAGCCCTGCTTTTCTGGGGAGGGCTGAACACCTGCCTGCCCATAGGAAGCAGTGAATGAATTCCTTGCTTTGCTTTGCTTGCGTGTGCGGCTTTTGCTTTACCTATTAAACTCTCTTTATCTCAACTCGTGAGTTTTCTCACCTTTACTCTTCCAATTCTCTCCCCCATCCCGACTGGGGGGAGTGAGCAAGCGGCTGCGTGGTGCTTAATTGCCGGCTGGGTTTAAATCATGACAAGTCTCATTAAGAACCTCTCCTGTCTTACAATATGTCTGTGAGTGTGCTATCTAACGAATTGTTTGGATTGTCTTCAGAGAGGAAATCTTTATTTTTCACCTCTAGAGAGCGATCTCGAGCTGCTTTCAAAAAGCTGCCGGGATAAAACTCTCACAAAGCTTTTGCTGAATCATTTGGATTTGAACTAAAGTGTTTGATCTTTTAACGAGTTCATCTCATGGTCTCATAATACCAAGAAAATTTTTAATATTGTCCATAATTATTATGCTTTACTTCTCCATAGTCCCTAGAGATTTGTATGGTGCTGTGCATGTGTTCAACCTCTCACTGAAGAGAAGAGATTGACATGTCCTGATAGTGGAACAGAATTCTGGTGGACTCAGAATTGCTACTTAAAATTGTATATCTCAGGTACATTATGGGATTTCAATATTTTAAAAGTGGATTCTCTGACTACACTGTTTGCTATTTCTGTTGATTTTACCAACTATTAAACAAAGGGATTTGTAGGGATCACTTTTTTTTTCCCATCAAAGCAAAAAGACTTCAACTTTCAGCCTTCTGTACCATCTCCTTTTGCAATGTACAACCCCTGCTTCATACCCACAGCAACACAGGGAAAACACAGAGTGATCCTGCAGCTGAAGGTTGTAAAACATTGTTGCAGGTCTTTTAATATTTTTCTCTTCTTTAAATAGATTTCTGATTATTTTTTTTTTATGTGTGAAAATATTCCTGTAGTTCCTGACCTGTCAAGTTTTCCTTCCACAACAAACTTAGATTTTAAATTAAATATTCAAAATGTAGCATTTTGATAACTTCTAATAGAGCCTGGCAGAGGCTTGCCTTTTCTTCCTAGACCCTTCAGGAGAAATTCACGGTCTCTGGTGACAGAGGCACTGTGGACATCATTACATGGTTACTTTATTCTTTCATATGTCTCTTTTGCCGTTCTCTACCTTGTGTCAGTAGCAGTGTCAGTCCAAGGCAGATCTGCCAACTGGTCCAGCTGAAACCCACCTGTTTTCCCATGTATTGGTTACCTGCTTTGGCTAACAGAAAACAGAAAAACTGTTTTCAACTCAACTTCACCTATAAACACAATGGAGAAAGCGACTGTAAGAACAAATGTCGATCTGGGATACGTGGAACAACCTCTCTTGGTAAGGACCCACTTTCCACACCGGAGCCAAGGGCAATGGCTTGCCCCTGTTTGCTCCCTGCTTGCTGCTTCTGCTCTCTCATATCACCTTGGTTGCATCACTCTGTTGTAGGTCATTGCATGTGCCCTACTGAATCTCTTACTTCTTTGTCCTTCTCCTACTCTGACTTTCCCGTCTTCCCCTTGCTCTCACTCTTTTGCGCTCTTCCACTGCTCCCTTCCTTTTTCCTCTTGGATTTGTAAACTGCCACGCTACCAGAGGCTGCAGTTTTGAATGTTTTCATGTTGCTAAGCGACATTCTTCCTCTCTTCTCAGCAGTTTGGTTTTCTTAGAAGTATTCAGTACCTGCAATCCCTGCTTGGTTGCCCTAAATTCAGATGCATCCTTGTCTTTATCTCCCATAGCTAAACAGCAACCTAACTTGCAAATTCACCCATGCGAAACTTCATAGACATGAGTAAAACTATTTCTTGGAGAATACTGTTTCAGAATTGGTTATATTTCACGATGTACTTGTTGACTGTGTTGTTACAAGAGACTTGAAATGTGCTCTGGACCAGGCACCAGAGCACATGAATTGGGGCCCATCGTGCTGCAGCAGTCATCAATGCTCCGAAGCATCATAAGACAAAGTGTACACTGACCAATTATTTGATCAATATACTCATTATGCTCCATTGATTAAGGGTTTGGAAAAATTAAATTACATATGGATTTTTCAGTTACCAATAGTACAGAAAGTGTTTGAAGAGGCAAGATGAAAAGACAAAGTTTTGAGCAGCTACTGAAGCCAAACCATCCCCAAAATCCCAGTTGCTCCTTGTGAAACTGTGGATCAGAATTACCTATACTGGTGTTTTCACAGCTCAGATCAAGGTTACGGTTCAGCACATAGGTGTCAGAAAAGAATATGAAAACAAGCATCATGAGCTTCGATGAATGCAATAGGAAACACCCAGCAAAGGCGAGGGAAGAGAGGTTCATCACAAAGCAACAGGTCTGTACTGCTGCTGGGGCTGTTGTGGGAGATATGTTAGTACCAATAAGGCACTACAGGCTTTATCAGCCTTTATCATTTATATACTGGGCATTAAGACTGCTTCAAAGGGCTCTGGATGTTTAAAGACATTGTG